CAACGCCTCACGCGGCGCCTATCACCGCGGTAAATTACGATTGTCTTGTCACAGTTACGTGACTTCAGTTACGAATTATGTCCTCTAATGTGTTCCTGACACTTCAGAGTTTGCACGTGTGTGTGAACAGTCTACGGAACTTCACTTCGATCCATTGCCAAAGCAGTTGCAAGGCGTTGTCGAGTCGGTTAGTCCATCTTCTAATGGCTATAGTCGTCTCTTCGTTCAACTTCTCTGAATCCCCTGGCTTTTTAGGCCATAAGAGCAAAATGTTGGAGAGAAGAGTCGGCATCAGAACGAAAGAAACCCAAGGACGGAAAAGAGATGTCTACACAAACGCCGCATGACACGGCCTTGGAAGTTGGAGATGTGTACTGCACTCGCCACTCAAATCTAAAAGATGTTCAGGTGCCTAACAATTTTCTTGCCTACAGAAGCTTCTGGTGGTCTTGACCAAATATCATTTTCATCATTAGATGGACTGCAGCAGGATCTTGCGAATTAGCATCCCTAGAACCTGAGCTTCTGCTTGAACATTGAAGTCTCTTCATAAATTCTGTTTCAGCTAGTGTTTCATCTTGTTGTCGACGATGTACTCCAGTCCTCAGATCTATCAAGTCGGTAAGGTTTTATCTATTTCTGGAAGTAAGAGTTCCTCGATTTCTCGACTTGATGGAACTTTTCTTAAGTCATCCCTGCCTCAACGGAATACGAAATATCATTCGCCTGACTGTACGACTCGGCATCACATCTATCCACATCCCATTGCTTTTGGTTGAGCAAGCATCAGAGGTGTGCAAAATAGCTTCCTGATTTCTTTTTCCCTTTGATAAAGAATTGGGCGCAATTTGGTGATGGGGCGGGGGCATTTTGCACTTCAATTGCTTCACCAGTTCCGGTTTACAAGTCGCGCTCTGGTGAAACTTGTAAGCTCTTGTGAAGCTGAAAAGCTCGTCGAACTGCCATGTTAAATGGCATTTTCGTGGTATTTCACGGCTTAACAAGAGTTAACAAGTACAAGAGTTGACAAGTGGTTTCTACAAACTTTGGTGGTATCATTTCGCTGCTTTACAAAATTGAACAGTTTCCACTTGGTGGCTCGACCCCGATGGGAAGTAGCAAAAGGGCTAAATGCCCCCTTCCCATCGCCGAATTACGCCTTCGTATTGTTATAGTGTAGTTCATTGCGGATGTTTGGGCGTGTTCGTGCGGCTGCGCTTGGCGCATCGCCAAACCCGTTCTCCACGAATGTTCAAGCGAGCAAATGACAATACTGTATCATCCCTTTCGTATTACTTGTTTCGTATGCGTTATTTGTCCGCATGCCCGTATTTGCAAGCAAGACAAGCAGAGAACAAGCCTCAAAGAGGTGAACCATCCAATGACTGGCTGACACGGTAGCCGAACGCGTCCACAGCGAAGTAGAGTGTAGAGGTGGAAAATCCCGACTGCATAGTACACCTTGTTCGCTTCAGAATATGACGATCGCTTGGTGCGTGCGAAGAGCGGAAATGGTCTATAAATGTGTGAAAGGCTACTTAATGGAGGTGAGTATTGGATGTTGACTACCCTCCCAACAATAGTGACCGAGTTTTGTACCAAATAGTGTTCCTCCACTATTTTCTGATAAAAGCTTGGAGGGCTTTCAGCGTTGGTACCAACGCAAAATTCGTAACCACCAAGTGCGCATTTCTAGGTTGTTTAGTCTACTTTTGAATGCGTCAATTACCAAGGTGAAACTCAGGTCCCTAGCCGTTCGAGATTGTGCCCGTTTTACACTGGCTGATGATCTTCTTGCAGGTATGTGGTGTTTGTGGTGGTTCTGCGGTGGGTGGTGGAGTGACCAGCGTTCCACATTTCAACATTCACCTAGTCTTGCCGTCAGGCCTCGCAGATGGCGTATATCAGCAGATATCAGCAATGTTTCCTACAATTTTCCATCTTGTTCCCAGTGTATCAATGGCAGTACAACAACCTTAATCTAGGCATTCTCGTGGTTTCTCGTTTGTTCGATCTGTTTATTAGTGAAAAATTTCATTTTGTGAACATGTTTCGTATAGATCAATTAACCTGATACCACCAGTGTTTCTGCTGGCAGAGGGTGGGGCCGTGACAAGGGGGCAGCGTTTGGCGGCGGCGCCAACCCGTTCTTTAGCAGCCGTTGAAGCGGACAAGCGACAACAACTGGTAGGGAATGGGCTACCACCGCGCCAAGCACACCCCCTTACACGCCCCAACGTCTGCAGAAAAGACGATTACATGTTGTAGCTTGTCATAGGAAATGATGCAGTATTTCTTTGTTCGCCTTTTTGAAGACGCATAATAATCTGTGATGTTGTAATGCGAGTATATTTGATGGATTGCATAAATCTATTTCTTGAAGTTTACCGTTCCTTGAGAGTACAGGTCACTCTGTGTCCGTATATGTAACTATTACAATTGGAAAACAGCGCGACCTTCTACGGGCGTTGTCCGTTCTCGCTCTCCGTAAGCCGGTTTTTTCGCTTCTCAATTTGCCATTTCTAATATTTCCATTTCTCTTCGATGAGAACACCACTGAAACGGTAATGATCCCTTTGTGTAGTTTTATGATCTTCTTTTGTCGGATAGGAAATGAACACCTATGGGGGATCTGACTTTTTCCAGGGCTCCATTTGCTCCGCTGGCTGCTCGTTATCCATCTGGGTATCGTCGCGCTCTGGCTGCTCACGATTCAGGAGACGAGGGTGATCTTGTCGCAGCCGTCGCTTCCATTTCGGTTTCCTCCGTCAGTGGTCGTGCAATGCATCTAGATCTAAGCAACTGTGAAGTGCCCAATGAGCAACCAAACGCGTAAGTCAAAATTGTTTTGGATTTTATAGTCTTGTTCGCTGGGTATAAAAGGGCCCCCAGGCAAGATGGGTTTGGCGCGGCGCTGGACCCCTCCTGTATCAGATGTTGGAGCGGTGCAAGCGGCAACAGTTAGTGGAAACGACCGATACGAGTTATATTATACAGACTCGTCACTTGCTTGCTTCAACAAATGGTGGAAAAGTTTGGCGCCGCGCCTAGTCGATCCGGCCGACACGCCCTTTCATCTGCAGCGAACAAGACTGTATATTCATGACTGCGAAATTACTCAATTTTCTGTCGGTGTAGAGACAAGGCTATCGTCACAGTCACTTAAATTGTGCGTTTCTTCCGAGAAACAAAGAAAAAACAAATGAATGGGAAAAGAAAACACTCACTCCAAAGCATGGTGGTCCAATTCACCTTTTCCCCTTATGTTTTTGCCCTCGCCGCCAAAT